CCTGCTGCAGGCTCTGAGCAGGTTGGTGCTAAGGCGCGAAGACACACTACAGTGCCTGGCCACGGAGACGGACTTCTTCGTTTTTTTGAGCGCGGGTCCAGGATCCATTCTCCCAAGCATGATGACCCAGACCACAACATGGCATCAGACTCTTCAAAACGAGAGGACACACCCATTGAGGATCCTGGTTCTGAAATCCCTGCTGGAAGAACTGCTGAAGAGGACACAGAAACTTCAATCCACGGTCTCCTCCGATCCCTTGATCCAAACGTTGCTACGCCTGGGATTTCTGAGAGTCGACTCGGATCAGGAGAACAACTATGTCTTTCCCATGATTGAAATGGGATCACCAGAAGCAGTCCATGGAAGCACAAGAGGAGGCTCCGCTCACCATCCAACAGGCACTGACCAGGATGCTTACACTCCTGCAACAGGAGGACCTGATCAAGAGGTTCGGAGCTCTCAGACCTTCACAACAAATTCAGAAGGTCATGACCACGGATACCGACAAACCCTCGGCAGTGATTCCATGGCGGATCACCTTGGCTCTGGCAAATCCACACTCCACCGAGATGAAAGGACTACGGCACCAACTCAGTCACTCAGGACTCTTGAATCCGGCAGCAGCATGCTACATGAACTCTGTGGTCACTGGTTTGGTGTGGAGCGCTAAAGGGGCAGACGGCCTGAGTGAGGACCACTGGTCCAACTTTCCGGGGGTCTTTGAGACCATTGCAGATGTGTCACAAGGGGGCGAACCACTTCTTCTGTGGGCTGATGGGCAATGGACCACCTTTTTGTCCACATGGCCGGAACCTTTTAGACAACATGATGTCACTGATTTTGCACACTACCTTCTTCACTCAGTTGTTGTTGGGAATCCCGGCTGGAACAGGATGGGGAAATCCGTGTGGTGGATCAGAGTGCCCTGGGATGCCCCTTGCATCTTTACATCTGCAGTGAGCAAAAGAATGCACTGCTGCCCACTGATCTGCAAGGGGATCTCAAACTGGAGCTTGGCATCCTTCGGTCTTCATGGCTTGACTGAACCAGCAGATGTCACATGCCTCCACATCGACCGCTTCGACTCGAGGGGTAAGAAGAGTAGAACTCGACTCAGCTGCGACTCTAAGGTATGGATGCCTTTCTTCTTCTTCAACCCCCAGCTCGGCATTGACCACATTCCATTTGAGGTCACGGCAGTCTCATATCATCTTGGCTCGGAGCCCACTTGTGGACACTATTGCACCGCGGTCCTCGAGGGAGGGTTTTGGTGGATCTTCGACGACGGCTCCCCGCCCGAGAAATTCGAGAAGATCCCCAAGGTGGTGCAGGAGAACTCTGCTGTCTCCTTTTGCCGCACGGGGGGGCGGAGCCAGTCTCCAAGCTGACTGAGGAATCGCCAATTCTCTCTGATGAGGAGAAGCTTGACAACATCTCCATCAACGACGACTGGCATCACAAGTGGCTTCAGGCCATTGATGGGTTGGATGCTGGCATTCTGCCAGGACTTTGCCACAGGCTGGTGAAAAAATGCATCGTGTGCCAGGGCTGGCCACGTGGCCTGAATGCACACCTTGAAGTGGCCCACAGAGAACTCTGGGAAGCATCCCAACCGGTGGCCGAGAAATGTGGAGCAGCCTTCAGCGGGAGAGCTCATCCTACCAGGTGGTGTGCATGCCAGCCCTACTACACCACTGAGCTGAATGAGGACCACCCGTGTCCGTGCCTTCGCCAGGTTGGCATTTTGCACATAGCCCTGAGACGAAGCCAGCCGGCTCAAGCCAGGACAAACCTGGCTCGTTTGCTTGACATGACCTTCAGCTGAAGGCTGGAGCTGGTTGTCCCTACGGGGACCAGGCGGATCAACAGGATCCACGCCATCATCACTCGATGAGCGTATGGAAAGAAAGATGATGATGATGATGGTTGGACTATTGAAATTGGCAGCCGTTCTTCGAGGAAACCCTTTGCAGGTGCTGCCATGCCTTTGTCTCGGTCAGGGAGAAGACGAAGTGAAAGGAATGGTCATGAAATCGTCTATTGACATGGAAACGTTCATTGTACAAAATAGGCAAACAGTTGTCTTGCGAATGATCAATCATGTTTCGCAAAGACAGCTCTCCTGCCCAAGACCTCCCCTCCGCGATGCGTGCCAACGTTGCCCTGTGCACCACCACGGTCCATAACTTCTCTGACGCGCTCGCCCGGATGGGGTCGGCGGATATGTTTCGGGTTCCGCAGCAATCCGGCAAAGGCGCCAGGTTCTTCAGGTTTGCTTCCACTTTTTCTCAAACTTGCAAGATCAGGCACTCTATTCAGCATTGCTTGCACTCCGGGTTCACCTTTGGGTATTGATTCCGGGAGCTGTTGTTTGGGCATCGATTGTGGCAAAAGATACTTCATGGCAAATTTCAGGCTGTATATGTTGCAGCCTCCCAATTTGCATTGTGATCATTACGGACCATTTGTCCCAAATCGATTCTCATGCAGTCAGTTTTTCAGAAGAGGCCTTTTTATGGCTGGCCGATGGAGGTCTCTTGGCAGTGGTGTCGGCCCATGTGTTGGTGTATTCTTACATTCAAGTCAACTCCGATGAGGACTGTGCACGTGATCTTCGGAAGACGTACAGGGCCATTTTGGAGTTGCCGCTGCGACCGATTAACCCCAAGTCAGAAACCCTATGCCAGTGGTTGGGAAGACGGCTTAGTAATATATGTGTGGACTTCCTGAGCAGAGCTCGCTTGCTGATCGCGTGGGCCGAAGATATTCCACAAGGAGTCATTGGCGTGGTGCTTGTGCTAAGATATGCAGGGTCGAAAGGCATTGGCTTTGCGGGCATCTCAGCCATTATCAGCATTTCCAAAGGACTCTTGATCCCAGGCTCACAAAGGTTCATCTTGTCTCACCGCTCAGCTGCAGTGATGACAGGCTTGGAGGGTCTCATAGAGCCTGACGCAATGGAAGGATTGTTTGCAAGGCTTCTGAAGGAAGCGTCGCCCCTCAATGCAGACAGAGTGGACACGGTTGTCAGAGAAATTTTGAGTGCGCAGTCCAGTGACTTGTTGAAGCAGCTGAATGTAGGGGAGTCTGAGATGTTTCGGCCGATCCAACAATTGCGGGAGAATTGGCTGGTGGACGCGTGTGAGGTGGTCAGAGGCCGCCTCGTCGCCCAGTATTTGAAGCAAGGCATCTCTGCAAAACGGCTGTTCGACCTTGGACACATGGCTGGGAATTGCAAAGTGGCTGGTTTCTCAGCCAAGCAGTGCAAGGAGATTGCAAGCTTCTCAGTGGAGAAGTGTCGGGCAGCGGGTTTCTTTCCAAACGATTGCCTACAAGCAGGCTTCTCCCCCAGTGACTGCAAAGATGCTGGCTTTTCCATCCATGAGTGCAAGGAAGCTGGCTTCTCAGCTAAACAATGCAAGGAAGCTGGTTTCTCGGCCAAACAGTGCCGAGAAGCGGACTTTTCCGCCGAGGAGTTTCGGAACGCTGGCTTTTCAGCCGTCCAATGCAAGCTTGTTGGCTTTGAAGCTGGTGCTTGCCAAAAGGCTGGCTACACTACACAGGAGTGGAGTCGCGATGCCACAGCGCACGATTATCGAGATGCAGGCTTCTCAGCCGCGGAGTGCAGGGATGCACGATTCTCAGCCAAGGAGTGCAAGCAGGCAGGTTTTTCTTTAAAAGAAATCCTGGCTGCCAACTTCTCTCCGGAGCAAGCACGTGATGCTGGATTCTCAGCTGGCCAATTCAAAGATGCTGGGGTGTTGCAAACCTGCAGGGATGCGCACTTCTCAGCCAAACAGTGCAAGGAGGCGGGCTTTTCTCTTCAAGACCTGCAATCGGCAGGGTTCTCTGCAGTGGAGGCGTTCAGTGCTGGGTTCTCAGCTTCTGAATTCAAAAATGCTGGTGCCCCTCCCAACTTGATGAGGGAACATGGCTTCTCAGCAAAACAATGCAAGGAGGCTGGATATTCGGCCCAGGAATGCAAAGAAGCTGAGTATTCTGTGGGAGATTTAAAAGATGCTGGTTTTTCAGCGGTTCAATGTAAGATTGCCGGGTTTGAGGCCAAGGCTTGCCAAGAGGCAGGCTTTTTGATGGAAGAGTGGAATCGCGATCCCAGTGCAAAGGACTACAAAGAGGCAGGCCTCTCAGCCCAACAGTGCCAAATTGCAGGCTTCTCGGCCAAAGAATGCAAGGAGGGTGGGTTCTCTCTTCAAGATCTTGTTGGCTTTTCCGACGAGGATGTGGCCAAGGCTGGGTTCTCAGCTCATGAATTCAAAGATGCTGGTGCGCCAGCAAAGTGGTTGAGGGATCATGGCTTCTCGGCAAAACAATGCAAGGAGGCCGGATATTCGGCCCAGGAATGCAAAAATGCCGAGTATCCTGTGAAGGATTTAAAGGATGCAGGCTTTTCAGCAATTCAATGCAAGATTGCCGGGTTCGAGTCAACGGCTTGCCAAGAGGCAGGCTTCCCCAAGCAAGAGTGGAATCGTGATCCCACTGCACAGGATTACAAAGAGGCCAACTTTTCGGCAGAAGCGTGCAGAACTGCAGGCTTCTCAGCCAAAGAGTGCAAGGAGGCCGGTTTTTCGTTCAAAGAGGTCCGAGGGGCGGGCTTCTCCCCTGAGGAGACGCAGGAGGCCGGTTTCCCTGCAAAAGATTTCAAGGAGGATGGAGCTCCTGCTAGCTGGATGAAGAACCATGGCTTCTCCGCCAAAGAATGCCGATACGCTGGCTACTCGGCCGAAGACTGTAGAGATGCCGGTTTCTCGGCCAAAGAATGCCGGGAGGCTGGCTTTTAAAGATTTGCAGCACAGGCATGCTCTTGGAGCGGCAGCTCACTGGCATCGCAATGGCAACCTATTGCGGTCTGGCCTGAGTTCCAAAAGAGAGACATTCACGTCCATGCGAGACGTTCGTTCGAGCCCGTGCTAAACACCTCGACCCGGTGCGGCCCCGAACCGAAGAGACGCCGCTCCGCTGACGCGCAGTCACCTCAGGTTGGCCGACTTCTACGTGTTGGTGAACAAGGCGCTCCAAACGTGCTCGCTCGCTACTAGGGTGGAGGCCGCTACTATCGCTTCTAGTCCAAAGGCGCTCGTTCTCGTGTTCTCACTCGTCCCTTCCGACAGGTGACCAGTGGTCTTCTCTGACGGTGTCACGTTTCGAACAAGTGACGCTTCGTGACTTCGACTGGGTCGAACGATTTCGTGGATCGAACACACTCAAGCGTGAGCGGTCCATCTTTCCACGCAGATAGGGTCGCAATATGTCAGCCGAACAGTGACAGGTATTGTCTAGACCTGCCACCACTGTTTCGGAAGACCTGAAACAAGATCCGGCAGGCGAATCTGCGCTGGTCCACCGCGACGTTCTTGAACTTTCTCACGGGACTCTCCAGTGTTTTGGGCGCCGTGGTGGCCTTTTATCTCGATCTGGGCAATGAAGCGCAAGGTGCTTGCCTCGCCATAGGTGCGGCGGGCGTCACTGACGGAACGGTCCGGTTGATTCACTTGCATGGCTTTAAACATCAGTAATCGCAACACAGACCAGGGTGACGAAGCAAACACAGACGGCAGGGTCCATGGCACCCATCACGACTTGTCAACATTCGTGCTTTAAACAATTGTCCCTCGACTCGAAAAGCGTGCTGCTCCAAACCGACCAGAAAGGTCTTGTTCCGTTCTTGCCTTGGGAGGTGCGGAAGCCCCAAAAAAGACCATGGTTTTTGAGAAAGTGTCACATCCGAATGAGGCCCGCAACTCGAAATCTCCATACTGTTGTGCAACCCGGTTGATTCCGGTTGATCCGCTTCAGATCGAATCCCGATGTCACCTGCGCTCAGCTGGTGGATTGTTCCTCTACATCGCTTGCACCGAACTGGGCCCTGCCGTGGCAGAACAAGACAAGAGCAGCCGTGCCCTGGCGATCGGGTGGCACGATTTGGGACACATCCGGTGGACTTCACACCTCCGGTCGATGTTCAGCAGGAGAGAAAAAATAGAAACTCATAGCGATGGCCTCCAACCCAATAGCGACTGTTTCCCACCCAATAGC